TTTTTTTTGAGACAGAGTGTTGCTCTTGTCACCCAGGCTGGAGTGCAGTGGCACATTCTCGCTCACTGTAACCTTCGCCTCCCAAGTTCAAGCAGTTCTCCTGCCTCCACCTCTGGAGTAGCTGGGATTACAGGCACATGCCACCACACCTGACTAATTTTTTTTTTATTTTTTAGTAGAAACAGGGTTTTACCATGTTGGCCAGGTTGGTCTCAAACTCCTGACTTCAGGTGATCTGCACACCTCAGCCTCCAAAGTACTGGGATTACAGGTGTGAGCCACCACGCCCAGCCCAGATGCACAGTTCTTTCTATCTATTACCAATTCTAAATTCGGGTAGAAATTCATAGTAAGTGGCATCTTTCAATTGCAGTCAGATGGACAGCAATGGCAAAGCAATTTCCATGTGTGAATATTTAAAAATTCAGCATTGAATTGCATTTGCAGAATGGGTTTCAGCCTCTTAATGAAAACCCTGAGATATATCAGAGCAGTTCCTAACCCTATGTATCAACTCGTTGTTGGAAATGCTGGGATCTGTTCCTCTACATTCCCAGCCCAGCAACATCAGAAAGAAGTGTGTTAATATGACAAAATTGCAGTGGAAAACAGCTTAAGAACTCAGCACCGTGAATTTTCTTTCTCCCCTCCCTTCCACTCCCCTCCTCTCCCCTTCCCTTCTTTCTTCTTTTTTCTTTTATCTTTCTTTCTTTTTCTTTCTTTCTTTTTCTTTTTCTCTTTTCTTTCTTTCTCTTCTTTCTCTTTTTCTTTCCTTCCTGTCTTTCTCTCTCTTTCTCTGTCTCCCTCCCTCCCTCCTTCCCTCCTTCCTTCCTTCCTCCTTCCTTCCCTTTTTTTGAGACAGAGTCTCGCTCTGTGACCCAGGCTGGAGTCCACTGCCACTGTCTCAGCTCACTGCCTCTGCCTCCCAGGTTCAAGTGATTCTTGTGCGTCAGCCACCTAAAAACTTGGGGTTACAGGCATGTGCCACCTCACTGGGCTAATTTTTGTATCTTTAGTAGTGACAGGGCTTTGCCACGTTGGACAGGCTAGTCTCAAACTCCTGGCCTCAAGTGATCTACCCGCCTCGGTCTCCCAAAGTTCTGGGATTACGGGTGTGAGCCACCACACCTGGCTGAATTTTCATTTAAAAAAAAAAAAAAAAAGGCCGGGCGCGGTGGCTCAAGCCTGTAATCCCAGCACTTTGGGAGGCCGAGGCGGGTGGATCACGAGGTCAAGAGATCGAGACCATCCTGGTCAACATGGTGAAACCCCGTCTCTACTAAAAATGCAAAAAATTAGCTGGGCATGGTGGCGCGTGCCTGTAACCCCAGCTACTCAGGAGGCTGAGGCAGGAGAATTGCCTGAACCCGGAAGGCGGAGGTTGCGGTGAGCCAAGATCGCGCCATTGCACTCCAGCCTGGGTAACAAGAGCGAAACTCCGTCTAAAAAAAAAAAAAAAAAAAAAACACTATTTTTTTCCAGAAACTTTGTAGAAGGTGTTAAAGCAAAATAAACAAAAATATAAATTCTTTTAAAACTATTGGCTGGGCATGGTGGCTCACACCTGTAATCCCAGCACTTTGGGAGGCCAAGGGGGGAGTATCACGAGGCCAAGAGATGGAGACCATCCTGGCAAACATGGTGAAACCCCATTTCTACCAAAAATACAAAAATTAGCCAGGCTTGATGGCACACGCCTGTAGTCCCAGCTGCTTGGGAGGCTGAGGCAGGAGAATTTCTTGAACCTGGGAGATGATGGTTGAGGTGAGCCAAGATCGCGCCATTGCACTCCAGCCTGGGTAACAAGAGCGAAACTCCGTCTCAAAAAAAAAAAAAAAAAAAACACTATTTTTTTCCAGAAACTTTGTAGAAGGTGTTAAAGCAAAATAAACAAAAATATAAATTCTTTTAAAACTATTGGCTGGGCATGGTGGCTCACACCTGTAATCCCAGCACTTTGGGAGGCCAAGGGGGGAGTATCACGAGGCCAAGAGATGGAGACCATCCTGGCAAACATGGTGAAACCCCATTTCTACCAAAAATACAAAAATTAGCCAGGCTTGATGGCACACGCCTGTAGTCCCAGCTGCTTGGGAGGCTGAGGCAGGAGAATTTTTTTAACCCGGGAGGTGGAGGTTGCAGTGAGCCAAGATCGCACCACTGCACTCCAGCCTGGCGACAGAGCAAGACTCTGTCTCAAAAATTCAAAACAAAACAAAACTATTTCACCAATATTCTTTATAGCACAAAGGACAAATTGTGTGGCAAAGTATAGACACTAAAGAGTTGAGGTGAAGTGATTCAGAAGACTTAAACTTTCTGTGTAGAAGTTTCAGGAGTAAAACTTACCTGATGTGTTTTTCTTGTATTTTTTATATGTTCATAAGATTGTTAAATGATAAATATCTGTATATCATTAAGTTCAGAAGAGTTCTTTCAATAAATATATTTTTAAAATATATTAGATACACTCAATTCTTTCCTAAGAGATCATCTAAATAATGAAAGGTGCTGGGAAATAGTTTAACCAGCTAGGTTTCTTTTTCTCAGCTGTACATAAAATGTGTATCTAACAATCAGTGGCATCATTGGCAATAAAATACGGACATAAAAATACAGATATAGCAGCAATAAGATTTAAATAGGTGATTTCTAGGTAAACTTCTTATTAGCTAAAAATAATCCATTAGTTTATTTTTATGACCAGGCCTTACTTTCTCTTCTAATATATTTTAGACATATGGGAAGCAATAAAGAATATCTATCTTAGAGAACTGGTTATATCCCATCAACTTCTAAACACAATCAGTTCCAATCCAAAGACTAAAAATCAACACAATTCACCATTTTGGGTTTTTGAATTTTGTAGTATTATCTGTTCAATATATAAGTAAAGTTAATAAAAATATTTTTAAAATAAAAACTTGTCATTTGGAAGAACATATTCTTGACATTTAAAAGAGATAAGCTGGGCAATAATAGAACCTAGGACTTGTCAGAGCTTCCAATGACCATCCTATAAGAAAAACTTTCAAAGACAGAGCTGAGTTTCTATGACTTAGGGTGAGTACACTCTCTAGAGGAAAAGAAAAAGCAATTCCATATGGAGAGTTTTAATTTTAGATGGCTTCTCTTGTCAGTTTCATTTCTGTTCCTCCCCTTCTTTGAAATTCACTGTTCTCAGAAATTCTGTAAAGGGTTGAGGGTGGAGAAAGAATTGTCTGTGCTTACATTTAAAAAAAAAAAAGAAGTCATCTCAAACTGAAGTCCTCTTCTGAGCACTTAAGATATTTCAAGAAAAGGAATTTACTCTCAATATTTCTCTGAACACAAGAAAGTCTAAGTGAGACATTTCAAGGCGTCTCTCATTTCATTTCCTTCCTCATTCCTATCCAAAAGGCCAAAACACCAAAACCAGCTTATTATATTATTCTTGCTATTCTTTCACAGAGTTCATCAGCTGAATGCAGAAAAGGTAAGATTTTATGCAACAATTTGTAAATAGAGGAGTTAAGCTGTTATCAGAAGGTACTAGCAGCCTAGAATAGGATATTAGAGTCTACGGCTAGTAGTCAAAAGGCTTGTCTCAGGTGAATACATTGCCGACCACACCAGAAACAGAACTCAAGCCAACCACTCGATTACCAAGTAGTGCATTTATGTTATGCTGAGAAGGAAAACTGCCATCTTCATTACAACATTGAAGCTAAAAAAAATTTGTTCCACGTATGCATCTAAGTATTGCATGCTTGATACAGCAAACAGAGGTTTCCATTGACTATTTTCATTGAGTCCAAATTTCCCATCACTGGCAGACGGCTCTTACTCATCTCAGCAAGCTCGTAGCAGACTGACTGTCTACTGTGCAAGGAGTAGAAGGGAGCAGGGAACTCGGATCCACAAACAATGAGAAAATTGAGTTGAAATGGTTATGTAAGAACCTTCTGTTACAGTAAACAACTTTCACAAGACCTGACTTTTCTCTTCAATGAAATGTGAAGTAGCATTTCCTGTATCTTAACTTCATCTGCCTAATAAAATGTTTATAAAAGGATTACATCACCTGCAACCATACAGAATTTAAGGTAAACTCATTTAACTCTAGAGATGCACTCTTTGAAATTGGATTTAGAGACTATGTGATATCCCAGTATTCTCTGTCCTGGCCAGTATGGGCCAGAACTTGGGACGACTGCAGGCCACTTCTTATTCATGCTACACCATCTTCTGGCCCTGAGTTACCATGTGAGGTTCCAAGAGAAAGGACCATTGAGGGAGTACAAGCCAAGTCACAGAGATCCCCATCAATGGAAGGAAGCGATGGAGTGGATGGCCCAAAACTCCTATTAATTTGCCTTTGAATGTTATTTCAAATCTGCCTTGGATTATACATTGGACCAATTATAAAGGAATTTATTTCAAATTAAGGAATGAAGCTACATTGCAAAAGTATAGATAGCTCCTAGCCTATGCTGCTGTTTTTGAGTGAATAACTAAGTAAGTGAGCTTGAAGGGGGTTCAGCACAGCCCAAGTTTTCCCTCTCTCTGACCTTCTCCTCCAGCCTCACGGCAGCATCTTGCGCAGGTGTAACCCAAAACATAAACCCAAGGTAAAATCCTTCTTGATCAAAACTTGTTAAACTCAAAACTTATGTAGAGAAAAGAAATATTTTTCTTTTTAAAAGGCATCTCTTTCCCCTCCAGGCTCCACTGAGAACCACCACCCCAAACCTGAAAGCCCAAAACAGACAGTGCCTGCTCGGTCAGTTTAAGTGAGGTTAGACAGAGATAAACCAC